ATGATTTTTGGGTAGAAGTATATGTCAGTAGAACCGGTGATTGTATGGGGGGAAATGGGGACGTCATGTTTTTTTTGTCTTTTTGTTTGTTTGTTTGTTTGGTAAAGGTTTGCACGCTACATATTGGTGCCGTAGTTCTTTTTTTTTTTTTTTTTGCTTTTATTTTGTTTTATCTGCGTTTCTTGCGGCAACGCCAACAATAACAGCAAAAAGAAGAGTAGCAGCAACTTCCACGGAAGGGGAAGGAGGAGGGACGGTTTTCGGGCAATAAAAATGGAGTTTCTTAAAGAACTCCCCGTATCGGGGCTGGACGCCCTTAAGAATAAATTTCTTCTCTGCGAACACCTTGGCGGTTTGACGGAGGAGGAGTTTGTGGAAGTGTTGCTCCGTGTCTGTGCTGACTACAGTACGGTCAATTCCCCTACGGAGGCCGAGGTTCGAAGAGTGTTTGCAAGAACCGATCTTTTGGGGATTGGCCGCATTTCTTGGGAAGAGTTCTCCATGTACGCTATTGATTCCCTCCGAAAGCGTGAGCACCGAGTGATGACTGGGGAGAAGGAAAATGAGCGTTTTCACCCGTATCATGTGGAGCAGCTCCTGTCGAAGGTTCATGCGGGATCTGTGAGGGAAATGCGTGTGTTACCGAAAATTGGGAAGGTAATGGTGGTCACCACAAGTATCGGTGGTTGTTGCACCATGAATCTCTGTGGTATTTCGCGAAACCTCCCCTTGTTTGGTACTATCCGACAGAATTCTAATGTACCTCTTGCGTGGGATGCACTTCCTCAGGCTGCGGGTGGTTTATTTTCCAACAGTATTGTCTGCTCTTACCATGGGGGGCTTGTGCGATTGTTTGGCGTCACGAAGCCAAACTGCTTTGATTGCTACTTGGAGGAATTCCAGCTGATGCATCTGACGGATACTCAATCCGCTATTCATTGGGTTCCATTTATGAACCGTCTTGCGATGGGTAGCTGTAAAGGCTTGGTGACACTGTGGGAAATGCAAAATCAATCTGTGATGTTGCGGAAGCGACTCAGTCGGCGCCTCATTACGAAGATGCAGAGTCGGAATCAACTGCTCTATGTGGCGAGCCTGGATACC